TCTCCTTAGCTTGATATACAATTTAGGGTAAGTGTCTAGCTTAGCCTCTTTTAACAGCTGCTCATACTCTGTTGCTCCTCAATCAAATACCCATACTTGCGTGAGGCCTTAGTCAACGCTACGTTTAGTTGGTCCTTGGTGTTCAGCTCTTCCAAGAGTTCAGTACTCAGCTTATCCATGATATCCACGCTGAAGAGTTGCCCTTCTATCTTGGGCTTCTTCATAACCTCGTTTATGTCGTACTTGAGGATCATATCCTTCCCCAAATGCAGCTCAATCTTTCCTTCTTTGACATATATAACTGCTCCAGTGATTTCACTCCCCTAGTGATGCTCGTCAGCCTTCAGAGACGTTAGCAATGATTTGTTCCAGCTTGGGAACTGCTTTTGAAGAGCAAGCTTGTGCCATTACTGATCCCAAGCGACCATGGTACGCTGATATTGCCAACTACTTGGCTGCAGAGGACGAACCACATGATTTCAAAGGTTATGCTAAGAAGAAGTTCATGAGAGAACTTAGAAGATTCTACTGGGATGAGCCATATTTGTACAGACATTGTTCAGATGGGATTTATAGAAGATGCATTGCCGAGATTGAAGTTCCAGATGTGCTGCTTCAGTGTCATGGTTAAGAATATGCTGGTCACTTTGCTACCTCCAAAACAGTGTCCAATGTTCTTCAAGCAGGCTTCTGGTGGCCTACTATGTTGCAGGATGCACATGCTTTCATATCCAGATTTGATACCTGTCAGACGAGAAAAATTATCAGAATACATGAGATGCCACAGAACTTCATCCTTGAAGTTGAAATCTTTGATTGCTGGGGCATTGACTTCATGTGTCATTTTCCTTCATCTAATGGGAACAAATATATATTGGTGGCAGTGGATTATGTATCCAAATGGGTGAAAGCAATTGCTAGTCCAACCAATGATACAACAGTGGTCTTGAAGCTGTTTCAGACCATAATTTTTTCCAAGTTTGGAGTTCCTCGGGTTAATATAAGTGATGGCGGTTCTCACTTTGTTAACAAAGTCTTTTCCAAGCTGCTGTAGAAGCATGGAGTTTAACACCAAGTGGCTACTCCTTATCATCCCTAGACCAGTGGACAAGTTGAAGTCTCAAACAGACAGATCAAGCAAATTCTGGAGAAGACTGTGGGAAGCACAAGGAAGAACTGGGCTGCAAAATTAGATGATGCGCTTTGGGCTTACAGGACTACCTACAAGACGCCATTTGGGACTACACCAGTCTACTTGCTCTATGGCAAGGCGTGCCATCTTTCAGTGGAATTAGAACACAAGGCAGCGTGGGCTATAAAGAAGATGAATTTCGACTTAAAGCCTGCTGCAGAAATGCGTCTAGTACAGCTCAATGAACTGGATGAACTCAAATATCTGGCCTATGAAAACTCAAAGTTATACAAGGAGAGTACTAAGGCATATCATGATTAAAAGTTCATATCCAGACATTTCGAGCCCAATGACCAGGTATTCCTCTATAACTCTCGTATGCAGTTATTTCCTGGTAAACTGTGTCCTCTTTGGTCAGGTCCTTTCACTATCAAAGGGGTCAGACCATATGACGCCATTGTCCTGATAAACTCCAAAGGAGAGGAGTTCACTGTGAATGGCCAAATGGTGAAACATTATTGGGCATAAACTGAGATTCCAGCTGGACACATTGTGTCTCTGGATGATTGCACCCGCTATCTGATCAGCATTCCAAGTCAAGCTAATGACTTAAAACAAGCATTTGATGGAAGACAACCCAGTGGTAAGTTTTCTAGTTCCTGTACATTGATTTATTTTTTGTTTTATTCCGTTAAAAAAATAATAATAAGTGTGGCGGAGTGGTGACCATCTAGCTGGTCACCCCAGCTTGTCACTATAAGTGACAATCGCCACCCACTATTTGGTGACGCTCGTCACTCATCATAACCAGATACGCGATTTAAGTCTTTTTCTTCTTCTTCTTACCCAAATTTTTTGAACTCCCTCTCGCGAACACCAAAAACACAAATCCATAACTTTTGATTTTGTTGACCAAATCGAGTGCTTCAAAACCCTAACCTGTTTGGATTTTTGTTCTCATCAGTTATCTATCACTCGATTTCATGATCTGCAAGGTATGTGTTCGCAAAGGATGCATGCGTCTTTCACGATATATCAGAGAGTTGGGATTAGTATGATACGCTATTCTACAATGCGTGGCTGTCAGTGAACATTTAGCCTACCCGATTCGCAGACACTAAGGTTATGCAGTAGATGGGCATTCGTGAAGAGGTTCTGCGGGTCTTAAGGAGGATTGGCATGAGTACTATGGCAATTAGGCAGCACGATATGTACCCTGATCTAGTCTGCCAGTTTCTTGCCACTGTTCGCGTCTACTACGAGAATGAGCTGGATAAGAGCGCACATCAGGGCACTCTCATGTTTCTGATCAGGGGAGTGCGTTACAGGATCAGCATCCTTCAGCTCTGTGAGATTTATGGTTTTGATCAGGAGCCTACAGCGGTTCTCACGCCTTCGCAGTGGTCTTACATGCAGACATTCTGGTCCAAGTTTGGGAATGGGACTTATGAGTCCAAGATGAGCACTCAGACTGAGGTCAGGCACCCTGTGGTACCTTAAATTTTGCGCCTTATAGGCAACACCATCCTGTGCAAGATGCCCGTGAGTGAGCTCGGTTTGCTCTACTATGGATTTGTTGATAAGCTTGACGATGAGATACCGCTAAGGAGTATGATTAGAGCCAATTTGGAGGCTCTATTTGCTGACAATATGTTCTGTTTTTAAAGTAAATTAGTTGTGTCAGAAAGCTGTTTTATTGAGTCAAAATTAGTTGGAAACTAGGAACTTTTTCTTGATTGCTTGTGTTGATTGTTTCATCTGAGTGACCATTGCTGCATGATTAATACCAATTTCTGACTAATGAAAAATCCTTAGGTTGACCGGTTAACTAGAAACATCTATAGTTCTAGCAAAGTTCATTAAACTTGAGCTTCAAAAAGACTAAGTTATTAAGTTTGATGTTTATAAAGCTTGATTCCTCATTCATACCTAATAAATTGCCTGCAATGTTTGAAAAGTGATGGTAGTACTCTCCCTTGTTTGATAATTAAAATAAAAAATAAAACAAGTCAATGTTGATAAATTTTCGACAATTTGAGATTATTCTCTTTGGATGAAGAGTAGGAAAAATTCTAGGGATCACGGTATTTCATTTTAAAGAGATGATCACAGGTGGAAGTAAGGTTAGGATTACCACTATTTACCTACACTTGAAGTAATATAATGAAACATAAGAAAAGAATAAGTTTAGGGGGGGGGGGGGGGGGGGGAGAGAGAGAAAGGGGAGAGAGAAAGAGTACCAAAGGTCTACAGATTGCAGTGCTAATTTATTTAGGTATAGTATGAGAATGAATCTAGAAGGTTCTTGAATATTTAGACTGCTAATAAGGTTTAGCAAGGATGGTTATTGGACAATACTGTTAATTTATAAGTTGAATTTGGGATGCTGTTAATGTCTAAGGAGAAGTACATGGTGGTTCGATTTGGTTTAATTAATGCAGTGTGTGGATTACAAGATGAACAGTCAAAACAATAATCTATGAGAAGATGAGTTCCCGCGTTTTCAAACCTCGACTTTGTTCTTAGTTTTATGTTTGCTTGACGGCAAGCATCTGGGAGAGTTGATATATCATGGTTTTTATGGTTTTTAACCATGATATAAGTCCTTTTTATTGAGTCTTTCTGGTCTTTTTAGAGTCCTACTAGAGTTTTTACAGGTTAATGCATGCTTGGAGCATAATTATAGACTTTGGAGCAAAACAGGAGTTCTTCCCGAATGAAGCAACAAGGAGACGTGATTTTGCACTGGTGACGATCGTCACTCTCTATTTAGTGACGATCGTCACCCTCTATTTGGTGACGCTCGTCACTCACATCTAAGGAAGCGTCGCGTGGTTTATTAAACGATGAAGGAAGAATTACAGTTTTGGCCCAGCAGTTCTACTATTTGCAAAAGTGTCCCATTCGTGTTTTAGTCTGTATATTAGGTTTTTCAGCCATTCTTTGGTTTGTATCTGATTTTCTAGAGAGCTTTTGAGAGAGATTGATCGAGAGGTTTGAGGGAGACAAATTCTGTACTCTTTTAGAGAAGATTTCAAACCATTGTATCTCCACTCTTTTCTTTTTAATGCAGTATTATTCAGTTATGATTTGTGCATTCATCTCCATGTCTGAGTAAACTGTTAGTTAGGTTATGATGATTTAAAGGTTGATAAAAAGTTCGTAGAATTCCTAAACTATTAAGAAAATCCATTGGTTCTTCATCAAGATTTGCATTCACATCGATTTTTAGGACTGATCATCTAGAAATCGCACCATAGGTTGTTTGATAGATGGGGGAATATTATTAATCACCTGAACTAGTTTTAGATGAACAAAATTACTATCTGCAAAGAGATTTAATTTAAGAATTTTGTGAACAATCCAACATGATTGTTAATTGTTTGAATTATTTGAATTTACAAAAAGATTTGAAATTCTGGAATCTAGACATAGATAACTTCTGCAACGAGAGTTGATTAGTTTTTTCATTGTGTTTCGAGTTCTAGACGGTTTTATTTATTTTCTGATTGCATTGCATTCTATATTTTCGGAATCAACCTGCGAATTATTTTGACCTAACGTTTTTAGCCTCTTGAACTTTAGAAACAATCAACAAATCGCCTACTTTTATTTATTTAGTTATTTCGCTTTGCATTCATCTGTTTCGATTTATCATAATCTAAATCTAAATTCTGTAGTGTAGTAGCTTACTCCCTTAGGATTCGATAATCTTTTGTGATGCAATTGTATTGTTGTGCGCTTACAGTAATATTATAAATTGAATAAAACAAGATCCTTATCATTATTATAAATCTGCATATACACATATTCTAAATATAATAATTTATTCTAACAAATTTAATATAAATATGTTAATATTTATTTTAGCATCGCTTTTTGGAATTTAAAAAAAATGACCTTAGTGTACTTGCATCACTAAAATTGATGCAATTTTTTGAATTAATTATAACAGCTGACCACGGTCTCATGTTTTAGCGTTACTTATGGCAATTAAGCTTAATCTAATGTTTAGCACCATTGACCTTAATCTTATTTTTAGCATCACTTATGAAATGATACCTTGCTATCATACTTTCTTGCAAAAGAATTGTCCCCTTGAACAAAAGAATTAAAGATTTGTGGCCGAACCCAAAAGAGAGATTAAAAAAAGAAGAGGTGAAGTTACATATTACCAACACATTTTACCCATGTCCTTCCTCTGTGAAAGCTGGTGATCTATGTTCAATGATGTTATATATGTAATTGTATTCTTGGGTCCAGACCCCTTCCTGTCTTCTAAAATGTTTCTCTACAAGCCCTATTAAGACCCATGCAATCTCTTTACCGTCATTCAACTTGCTCTCCAATTAGATCCAGACCCACCAGTAAGAAGGATATTCCCTGAAACAAGAGGAAGTAAAAGTGGATTCCTTGAGCCGATAAGAGACTTCGAGTTGCTGCGGTTAATAACAGAAACGCTAGTGAGAGCTCCTTCATATATATCCTATTGTGCTTCTTCTTCTTAATCTTCTTTTGAGCTTTCTTCTCAGCCTCTGTTTCCGGTGCAGACACGCCTCTCAGATGTTTCATTTTTTTTCCTCCTTCATTTTCAACTAAAGCAGCAAGATCTCCTTCCGATGATCGCCCTGATTTCTTAGTAACAACCCATTCGTACGAACTTCCGAGTTGAAACAGGCCCGAGACCATTGCATTGAACTTGGTCACGGACATTGTATTCTCGAAGAGAAGGTAAGGGACGATAAACGGAAATGATTTCGGGGCGGGAAGGATGTTGAAGACCGACATTGTTGCAGGTATGTAGCAGACAACCCAAGCAGGGAGTTCAGCTTCAGGCACAAACATAGTCATTGGCAAGATGATACAAAAGAGTGTGAATGAGTAGAAAGGCAAGATGAGCTTCCTCAGTAGGAAGAAGAGGAATATCAAATTGAACTTCTTGCCTATGCTTATCTGCCAAACACACACAAAATGGTATCAGAATACCCAAAAACGACACTATTACAAACCACAAAGCTACATGTTTGCCCGCACCTTCGATTTAATGACGGCGGGCAAAGAAAGGCGAAATAGCTGCATAGGTCCTGAATGCCATCTATGTTGCTGTTTCTGGTAAGCTTCATAAGATTCAGGTAATTCACAAATGCACTGAGAGAGACACGAAGAGTATGACATGAGCCATGAAGTCAAGAACCAAACAACTTGATATACACTTGGTGATACTAAAAGGCTACAATACCTCAACATCGTTTAGGAAAATGAATTTCCAGCCATGGAGATGAGCACGAACAGCAATGTCCATGTCCTCGACGGTTGTTCTCTCGAGCCAACCACCAGAATCTTCCAAAGCCTTAATCCTCCACACACCAGCCGTTCCATTGAATCCAAAGAAATTCAAGAAGACACTATTCACTTGTTGTTCAACCTCAAAGTGAAATGCCAAGTTAATGTTCTGTAATCTTGTCAACAAGTTCTCTTCCTTATTGACAAACGACCATCTCGCTTGTACCAGTCCTAGTTCCTCATTGTCCTGTTAGAATTTTGTAGATGATGAGATGTTAAACTTGCACAAAGCTACCAAATTTGGATCTAAATCTAAAGAATCACACACTTTTACCTAAATATCTAAAGAATCAAATCTAAAGAATCAAATCTAGACATATTTTTTACCTTAAAATGAGAAATTGTCTTTTTGAGGAAATCAGGTAAAGGCTGAAAATCGGCATCGAAAATGGCGACGAATTCGTAGTCTTTGACGTAGCTACAGTTCATTGCAGACTTAAGATTTCCAGCTTTGTAGCCTTCTCTATTCACACGGTGGCGATACACAATTCTTGCACCTTCCTTCTGCCATTTATGAACCTCTTCTTTGATCAAACTCTGTGTGATTGGATCATTTGAATCATCCAGAATTTGAATCAAAATCTTCGATTTTGGCCAGTCTAAATTACATACAGCCGCAATTGATTGCTGATAAACCTGTCAAAGTCAAAAAATCAAAAATCCATAAGGTTTTAGCATTCGAAGCGTTAGACTAATCTCGTAATCGAAATTGTATTTGGTTTTACCTCTTTTTCGTTACACATAGGAATCTGAACCAGAACCATAGGGAGGAAGAATCCATTCTCGCCCGATTCTAGATCAGAGGTTGAGTTTTTGGGAACCGGTTTGATTTTCTTGAATCGGATCCAGAAACAGCCTAAGCAGAGGATGAGTCTGTCTAGGCTTTGAATAAGGAAGAGGACGATGCAAGCATTAGCGAGAAACTGCAGCGGAGGAGCAAGATACTCAACACGAAGTAAAACCCAGTGAGTATAAACCCAATCGAAGAATCCTTTTACAGAAAAAGGAGACGCAATGAAGATGAATTGAAGCTGAAGCTTGGGTGTTTCGAAATGCCATCCTTTAAAATACGCAGCAACTTCAAAAGCTAGAAGCATTAGTGAAAGCCATAGAAACACCTTTAAACACGAATAGAACAGCCTCGGTTTTGATTTCGTGATAGCCGGAGAAGAAGACGAAGAGATCTCAATGTCTGTACGGCCGGCAGCAATACGGCGGCGTACGGCGGTTCCAAGAGCGATTAATGCTGAGCCGAGGGAAGTGAGACAGCCTGCGGCACGGTGGGCTTTGAGAAGGAGGACCCATGTGAGCTGTCTCGCGTTCTTGTTTCGAGATTTCTCACGGCGACCTTCGACGAGAAAGTCTTGCTCAGACGGTGATTCAAGCTCCACCATTGACCAGTTATTAGGGTGTTCCATTTTAACGACGACCGGTGTACCTTTACGGTTGTTTCCTTTGGCCCACCATTCGAACATCGGTGCCATTTTTACTTCTAAAGAGATGGAAGAAGAAGAAGAAGAAGAAATGTGAAAGAACTACAAATCGGATGTCAATGACAGCAAGAAGATGAAAGCATGGACGTGTGTATGAATTGTGGAAGAATATGTAATGGAGAGAGAAAAACACTGTTCCCGAGAGGCTCTAATTATACAGATTGCAAAGAAAATTGAGAAACTTTGAAGAAATTTAAAAGACGGGGAAAATCAAGAGAGAGAACAGCTCAACACGTCCTTTTTTTTTTTAAGCAAATTTTTTGTTTCAAAAATATACAAAAATCCCAGAAGAATAATTTGAGAGAAACTACTCCCAATGGTCAAATTGTTTGATATTTCTTTTTTGTACCCATGATTGATTAAAAATTTGTCCTTTAATATGAAGGGGAAAAAAAGGATTTTCAAATGATCAAAGATTTTCTCAATTAGAGCACTTGGAAAATAAGGAAATAGATCAAATGATAGGCAGTGATTAAAAAGCCTTGTTTGAACATAAATAACACAGAATACCAAAAGCTGGCTTTACCAAATCTTTTGGCTTTCTTCTTCTTCTCAATACTTCGCTTTAATCTTCAAATTCTCCAAATTCTAGATACAATATAGTTAGATCTTTAATTATTTCGCGTGTGATATTAACAAGGATATAGAATTCACCTCGAGTTAATAATCACACGCGAAACAAAAAAGGACAATAAAATTAATAAGAAAATATTGTAATTTTGAATAATATCTGGAAAGACACCGTGAGGATGAAGGAAACAAAAATAGAAAAATGGATTTAAGATATGAATATTCTGTTTTTTACTTTGATTAAATTGTAATGAGTGGGTGACAAATAAAGAAAAGGCCAAGTCTCTTGCTACACCATTCGTTTAGATACTTGCCTCCTAATATGGCGTTTTTTGGTTTTTTATTAGTTTTTTTCTCTATTTAACTTTTTTTAATCTTCAGATTTATACCCATATTATTATATTTTTAATCTACATTTTATCTTTAAATTTATAAATATCTTAGATTAATTCTGTCGGTTTCTGACCTTAAAATGTGATCTAGAAATGTTGAAATTATTGAGTGAAATATGGTTTTGGTTGAACTCTAACAAAAACTTCCGAATCGCATCAAACATTTTTAATCGTATATTTTATGTGCAACGATATATCAACTATAATTACAGATCTATTGTAAAAACATAGACCTTGAAAGTTAAAAAGAGAAAAACATATACCATTTCGCTTTCACCGATATATGATCGAATGATTATTATTAATGAGTATAGCTCTTGTTATATATACTAAGGGAGAATAAAAGAAGAAAATATACAATACTTACTCTATACATAATTGAGAAAATACATTAGTAGTGATTAAGAGATATTATTGAGTAATTGAGAGAGATTATAGGGGTATCATTATTATCTTTACATGTTCCCCTCAAGATAGAGCATCATCATTGGTGATTCTATTTGTGATAACTCAAATTTGATTTATAGATGAATGATAGTTATGTGTTTAAAGAGAGATCTTTATTAAGATTTTAGCCAAAGTTTGAGAGATATACGGTGGTTTAGGTCGTCAGAATAAGAACGCCGACATAAATTGTTTATGGGAATAAAATCAAGAGCTAGGAACAATAAGACTCTTAGTTTTCCCTAGGTCTCGAGAGAGTATTTTCGGATAGATTGAGAAGTCGGAGGCTTCCTCTATTTATAGCCGATCAGGTCGGTCTTCTTGAGATAACTATGTATACGAGATAGAAAAACTTCCTTGCTGATAAGATCAACCTTCCGTCTTTTCTGGATTTAATCCGATAAATGGAAGATTTCCATTTATTTGGCCGACCTGAATATTCTTTGGGTTTCCAAAGTGGGCCGACCAGATTTTATGTCAGGCTTTTAGAGATAGTATGAATCTTATCTCTAACAGTAAGTCCCCCCCCCCCCCCCCCCCCCCCCCCCCCCCCAGTTCGGCAAGTGAGGACGCGAGACTTGGTGAATTTAAAGAGTAGCTCGACATGAAATGAGGTCGGCCATTGAAAAAGTTAGAATATACAAAACAAAAAAAATTTACCTTGAGATCAGATCGGCATGAAAGCGGGGATCAGGTGGCGTATTTGGACGCGAAAAGCTCCCGCCTGAAGTTCCCGCCAAAAGTAGGCTAGGTTTGGGTAGCTCTGCGCATGCAAAACTAGGTTTAGTACGTGTCAAACGCTAAGGGAGGAAAGCGAAGAGGCCGATTAAAAAATAAAATGAGAAAAAATGCGAACAGTCACCGAAGTCATGATGACTCTCGATAATCGTCCAGATTTCTGCCTAAATAGGAGGGGTTCGGCTCATAAATCTTCACTTCTGCATTTTAGCGAAACTCTGTCGAAGGGTTTGCTGTCTTCTCTCTCTTCTTTGTTCTTTAATTTTTAGATTTTTCGATCGACCTCCGCCGTGTTTTGTTTGATCCCCGCCGCGTGATTTCTCCGGTCTGGTTGAAGCCGCCGTCTAAGCTTTGATTTACGATGGGTAAGAGTTTGAGTATCAGAGAGGGCCGACCCGAATCAGGGGAGAACAGGTCGGCGCAAGCGAGAGCCGATGAGATCGGCGTCTCCTTGGAGGAATTCCTGGAAATTTCCCGTGTCGACTAGGCTGTGAGAAGCCGATCTAAAGGAAAAGAGGTTGATGTATGTCAGCGGATCGGATTGGTCTTCAGACGCGAGTGACCTTTCTGCGCTAGATCGGGCCTACCAGGAAAGGGTTAGAGAAGAAAACCAAAGGGCGGAAGCCGATCGTTTTCACGCCGACCAGGTCAGGGCCGTTCTGATGGGCGGATAAACATCTTCGCGGGAACCATTTCTAATACCGGAACTACGGGACAAGTCAGACGAGAGGGGGGGGGGTTCAATGAGATGGATATCTCAGATAAATTGAATACGCTTATCGTGGAGGATGAGGTAAATCAATTTGGAATTATCGATATGAGTTCCGAGGGATAGATGACTCTCGATAACCGTCCAGATTTTTGCATAAATAAGAGGGGTTCGGCTAATAAATCTTCACTTCTGCATTTTAGCGAAACTTTGATGAAGGATTTGCTCTCTTCTCTCCCTTTTTTGTTCTATAATTTCTACATTTTCGGTCGACCTCCGCAGCGTTTCGTTCGATTTCTGTCGCGTAGTTTCTCCGATCTGCTTGAAGCCGCCGTCTAAGCTTTGATTTACGATTGGTAAGAGTTTGAGTATCAGAGAGGGCCGGCTGGAATTAGGGGAGAACAGGTCAGCACAAGCGAGAGCCGATGAGATCGGCGTCTCTTTGGAGGAATTCCTGGAAATGTGTCGTGTCGACCAGGCTGTGAGAGGCCGATGTAAAGGAAAAGAGGTTGCTATCTGTCAGTCAAGATCAGATCGGTCTTCAGATGCGAGTGACCTTTCTGCGCTATATCGGGCCTACCAGGAAAGGGTAAGATAAGAAAACCAAAGGGCGGCAGCCGATCGTTTTCACGCCGACCAGGTCGAGGCCGTTCTGATGGGCGAAGAAGCATCTTCGCGGGAACCATTTCTAATATCGGAACTACGGGATGAGTCAGACGAGAGGGGGGGGTTCGAATGAGATGGATATCTTAGATGAATTGAATATGCTTATCATGGAGGACGAGGTAAATCAATTTGGAATTATCGATATGAACCCTCCCGTCAAGAAGAGGAAGAAAGGCGAGCCAGTTGCAAAGCCGATATGCGATAATGCTCTTGGAGTAATGCCGACCAAATCGACCATGAAGTCTTTAGTTACACTGAAGGAGGAATGTGACATTGGTCTTGAAGTGATCTTCATTGTTCTGAGCCCGTCAGAGCGGCCATGGGACGCGCCAAGAGGGTGTACAAGTGCTTTTTCAGGGAATTTCACTTATGTTTTCCCCTTTCAAGGCTTCTGCTGGAGTTTGCCGATCACAAGGAGATGCCGATCTCCCAATTCTCTCACTCCATAATTCGTCTGATTGTGAGTAAGCTGGTGATGGCTATCAAGCACGGCATCCCGTTGAGCCGAGTTGCATTCGATGCGATGACAAATACCAGGAGGACAAAAGAGAAACTACGGAATCGGGGATTATACTACACCAGTATGAAGACGAAGTTTAACTTCGTCACTGGTGGTCAGAAGACAAAAATTAATGACTGGAGGGATCGATACTTCTTTGTGTTGATCAACGAATTCTCCGTCGTCAACCGAGACGTGCTGATTCGAACGAAATGGGTGGAGGTTATGGGTAGAAATTTGTCTGACCTGAAGTCTAACAGTCACAGATAAAATTTCTTTATTTGTGATTGCTGACCAACCTATTCTTCGTCTTTGCAGGAAATAGGCCTCTTCCAATTGTCGACGATCCTCTCGATATCTACGACATCTCCGAGTGGTTTTCGACTATTAGCGTGATCACGTGGCCAGATATCGCGGAGGAGAAGATTGCAAGAACAAGAAGTTAGACTCCTTTTATCGAATTTATTGTCCGTACGTCATGCGGGTTTTCTAACTTTTATCTGAATTGTTTCAGCTGCTTTGAAATGTAATCAGAACTGAGCCGAGAAGATGAAATCCCGTTCTTTCAAAGACCTATTAGCCAACCTGGAATCTTTTTTCAGGTCTCCGAGCGTCAAAGAAGTCAAAAACCCTGGTTCGATGGCATCATTGAACGGACGTGAAACGTCCAATGTGTCAAAAAATCGCGTTGAGAGTGATTCGGCTAAGGCCAAGAAAGCGGCCGACAAAATGGCTATGGCAAAGAAGGCGGCCGATAAGAAGACTGCAAAAAAGGTGGAGAGAGCTCTGAAAAAGGCCGAGCTGGAAGGGCGCAGGGATGAGGCGGTTGGAGAGGGCGAAGCCAGCAGGGAAGGTGACCTCACCAGTTCGAATAAAAAGAGCTCGGAGGAAATGCTCGAGGGTTCGCAGAGGTCAAACAGTCCTCGCATCGAACGGGAGCTTCGCCTGTTTTGATTTTCATACGATTATTGGGGAGATTGCCTGTTGGTGAGTGATCCGGTATCCTGCCTGGATTTGTTTCTTCGATTAAGGGATCACTCAGATCTACCGCCACCGGTTCCCCAAAGCTTAATTCGCAGTGAAGCGATTGCACGCTTCGCAGCCGATCAAGCTAAGGTAAAATATCATAAACACTCCACTTCTCCGTTTCTAGACGTACCAGATTGGTTCTGACGATGGACCTTTTTCCTATGCAGGCCCTCAGTACCGCATTGACTATGATGTGCGAGTACGATTGTGACGCCAAGAGGTGTCTCGTCGACCAGGCCGAGAGAGAAGCTGTCACGGAAGCTCTCGAGGCCAAGAAGCAAAAGAACGCTGAACTCGAAGCCAAACTCGGGGAATCTTCAGAGAACCTGGCAAAGGCTTGTGCAGATATCGCCGAAAAGAACTGGCTCCTTGGCCGGGCGGTAAAGCAGATCACAATAGAGAGGGCTGCCGCTGAGAACAAGCTTGAGGCCGAGAAGAAAATGGCCGAATAAGAGAAGATAGCCTTTGGCCAGGAGATGGCGAAGCGTGCAGCCGCCAAGGTGAACGACCACTATGCCAACTTAGTTGGCAAGGTCAAGGAATCTCTGGCCCGTAAGGAGAAGGCTGAAGAGCTCATCTTGACCGCGGCTCAATGGGTTGGCGCTCAGAGGGTGCTCACTATTGTCCGAAAGTATGGCTACGATTTCCCAGCCAATATCGATGAGAATATGGCGAAGAAGATCGCCGAAAGTAAAGCCGACCACGAGGCCTTCAAGG